TTCATAATATCATAATTTTCGTTAAGAGCCCTTTCAACAATTTTACTTGTATGCTCTACGAACTCATTAAATTCTGATGATAAAACAATATTCTTTTTTTCTTGATCGGATAAATCTGATACGTATATAAAAATATGATTAGTTAATGGAAATACTTTTACGACTAATAGATAAAATAATTATTATAACCATTAGGTTTTGCTTCTTTCTTCTTCTTTTCAGCTTCCAATTGTAGACGTTGTTCTTCCGCAGCAGCTTCTTTGATTTTTTGTTCAGCCTCGAACTCTTTCCAAACCTTTTCACGAATTGTCTCTTCTGATGGAGGCGGTGGGGTAAATGAAGTATCTATTGTCTGCGCTTCTTTAGTGTAATACACAATTTCCTGATAATTATGACAAGCATTTATTACATAAAATATTAGATGTGAACAGCTCATATTCTTTTCTATACAAAGTTAATTTACCTTTGGAGGAAGATCTAATACAATTTCATCGAATGAGGTAAATTCTGGAACAAAACGAGTTACCACCGAAGTAACAGTTGAGGAAGGTATATCGGAACTGTCGTGACAAGAGAATGGTATAAGGCATATAGTGAATAAAGAAAATTTATTGGAATAAATAATTAAATAAACTAACCTCGAGATGGTATCGGAAGAGGTGGTTGGCGGTCCTGTGGTATCGGTGGAATTTTGTCCAGGTGTTCCCGTAGATTCTGCTTCTTCAGGTAACGCGGGTTCCGGTGTTTGTACCGGTTCAACTTTCGGTCCAGATTTTGTATCTAACAAATCTCTAAGAATAGCATCTAATTCATCTTTACGACTCTGTTTAGGCCAAAATCAATATATCATTAGAAATACAATTTACAAAGGATTATTGCATAATTTACTGACAAATGATTATATACCGGCTGCTGCTGTACTGGTGGTTTCTCTTTTACTACTGGTGTATTCTTTCTATCCTCTCTTGCCCTCCTTAATTCTTCAAGTTTTGCCCTTTTCTTTTGTAACTCTTCTTTCCTTTTGTCAGCCATATTTATTTTTTAAATTCAGAGAAAAAAAATTTTCTTTTTGAAGAAAAATATAACCGGTCAAATTTAAACAAAAAAAAATTTTTTTTTGATTGACACAAATTTCTGCATATGAAGACCTGGAGGCGTTACTTTACATGTGGTGCCCGCTCAAACTGGAAGGCATAAAGCGAACCGATTGCGTCATATGCTATCGTACAATGTACATTTACGGGATTTCCATTGTGTAGATTTCTACCACTCAAGTTTTTGTTGAGACGGTTTCTATGTTCTTTGTTAGAATACTAGACAATAAGTATACCGTATATTTTTCCGGCATGTATTATCTGCAAATTAGTAACACCAAATTTTTTTCAGAAAGTTTACTCGGGAAATATTTTTCTGCAACTATAACCATATTAAGCTGGTCAACAGATTATCCCGCATTTTCTGCACGAAGAATAAAACCAAATCGATCGTTCATTTGACTTTATAAAAATTTCGTGCAACCTGGTTTTTCTTCAATTAATTATATTTAATTAACGGAAATTTTATAAACGCGGTTTGAGAAATTTTGCCTTTTATATTCCTAATCATACTATCACGTGAAAAATGAGAAGCTTTCTTTGAATTTAAAAAATTAATATAATCTGTAAGTTTATATATAAGGAAACTGGTTGTTTCTATAAAAACATAAAGATGGTTTTCCTATATAAAGCACAAATGACTTTATTAATTGTAAAATATAAAAAAATCTTAAATACTGTATATATTTTTTAAATATTAAATATATATTTGGATAATTATTTTTGAAGGCGTATGTTTTTTTGACCTCTACTTTTAAACAATACATATACAATGAAATTTTAAGAAGCACAATTATAATGTCCGAAAAATTCCTGTCCACCTTCAAAAATGCTAGATATGATTTTTTCAGATCCAACTTTTAAACAATACATATACAATATAAATTAATTTTAGAATCACCAGAAAATTTCCGGTTCGCCTTCGAAAATAATTACCCATTTTTATATTATAATATTAACTACGTAATATAAATAATAATATTTAAAATTTTTTATTTAAAAAAAAATTTTTTTTCTATATATTTTTATTTTTTTGTAAAAAATTTTTTTAAAAAATCTTTTTTATCTTGAGAAATATACAGTAATAATTTTTTGTTTTTTATATTTTTAAACATATAATTATAACTCTTGAAATATTTTTATTTTATATTATTAATTGTATTTAATTTTATTATTATTATTATTACAAACAGATATTAAATACAGTATATGACTTTATTAAATAAAGGTTTATAGTTATATTGATTGTATTTAATATTTATAACATTTATATTTATTTGAAATCAAGTAAAAATATATTCTTTATTATATTTGAGTTTGATTTATTTTAATTTATTTCAATTACAGCAAATATATAAGAGAGTGAAAGAAGTATTGGATGTTTTACATATTTTTAAATTAATTTATATTATTGGATTTTTGTATTTATTTGACAATTATTTTCTAATAAACTATTTACATATAGTGATGATCTACAAATCAAAACAAATCTTATCTTCATATAATATTTCTAAGAGTTACAAAGTTACATGTAATTTTTTCTTAAAAAATGACACTTAAAATCTTACTGCATAATATGTCACAAAAAGAATTAACAGAAAATCAGAAAGGTGGAATTATTATATACCGAAATTTCTGAAATCATAAGTTGTTTCTGCTCTTCCATAATACATATGCTAGAAGCATATAAACTCAAAAAATTATTTAAAAAAAGAACGGGTCATCTATTAATTCTAAACAAATCCACATGCAACTGTCTTAAGGCTTCAATAACTCGCAATAAATGTTCCTATTGTAAAACTCTTTTCTCAATTCATCTAACCTACCTAAAAAAATATATAAGTATTTCTACATGAATCATTAGCAAAGAATTAGCAAAATAAAGAGTCCACTCGCAAGTCCCCTGTTACAAATCACTAATTTCTGAAGATAATAAAACCAACTATTTTTCTTGAATCTTGCCCATGAGAATTGAAATATAAAGAACTTTAAAAAAATTATGTAGTCGAATGAATCTATCTATGCACAATTTCAAACTTCGGGTTTTGTGTATGTTTGATGCAAACCTGACGAAGAGTTTCACGAACATTGTATTGTGGCTACAGTTAAAAAAAGGTTGAGTCACATATTTTGAAAGTGTTTTTCTTGGGTTGGGTTAGATCTGCTAATTTTTTTAATTGGTTGTGTTATGGATAAGGTATATCGTGATGTTCTTGAAGAGTACGCCATTCCTACAGTTAAATTATATACAAAAAAAGTATTAAAAATTTTTATTTTTTAGAAGAATAATGTTCACATTTATATCATAAAAGTTGTACGATCCTTTCTCGTTTTCTCAAAAATTAAGCTTCTCCCTTGACCAGTCCAAAGCTCCAACTTAAACCTATAGAGAATATTTGGTCATATATCGAGGTTAGGATCTGTCAACATAAGATATGGCTTTCAAGTATTATACAATTAGAAAAATGTATTAAAAAATAATGGAATATAATACCTATAAGCTATTATAGAAATTTAATTAAATCGATGTTACGTCAAGTTCAGGTCGTTATTGTTACAGAGAGTGGTCATATGAAATATTAGAATCTTTATATATATATTACTTGAACAAAAGTATTGCACGTTATTTATTTATTAATTACACAAAATTTTACATAATAATTCTATTTAAAATTTTAATATGTTATATTTTATATAAT